GTGGGGCTGAAGTATAACAAATGAGGAGGATGAGGAAGAAGGGAGTGGTGGAGGTTGTAAATAGAGGCAGAAGTCAGATCATGCAGGTGAGGAAAATTATCTGGTTTTTAGGCTAATGTCAGTGGCATTTAATTGCCAAATATGCATGGAAATAATAACACTCTGATCTTTCCTGCCCTCCTATGACTAAGCTGGATGGATTGCTTTTTCTCAGTGATGAGGAGAAGAGAACACAGGTTTCAAACAAGGGGACAGAGTTACATTTTCCACTTACACACATATGTTTGTAAATATAAGAGGCAGAAACTCATAAGCATCACACAGGTATTTTTAAAAGAGTCCAGCCTGTAATCACTATCTAACAGTACAGCCATAAACAGGAGTATTATGGTGTGGGAGCAGTGGTGGTGGGGGGGAAGACTGAGCATGGAATCTGGCCTGGCATGCATAGTTCACCTTTTTTATTTTTTTTAAGGACTGGCCCTTCATCTGATTGCCAAGCAGCATTCACATAAGCCAACGTGAAATCCCTGTTTAAAACCTTCCCCTCCTCTTCAAAAGCTTCAAAAGCAAACTTATCCTCAAATTCCCGCCAAAGCTAACCCCATCTGTGGGTGGCTTTGGGGACCACCTACAGGGTGAACACAATTTGAGAGCTGTTAAAAGGCCCCTCCTGTTCTGGGTGCTTTTTCTTGGTACTATCACTACTACCTAAAATTCTACCATTAACATTTCTATTTGGTTGCATTTTAATTGCCACATATGTCTGGACATGGTAATGCAATTGACCTACCCTGCCTTCCCAGGACCAAGCTGGTTTGATTACATTTTCTCAAAGATGAGAAGAGACCTTGGGCCATGGTAGAGCCCTAAAGGGGCTATGAGGCAGAGTAGGCTGTCTAGAGGGAAAACAAAAGGACATTATTATTTCTGTTTGAGTTGTCCCTGAAGTCAGTGTGTGTAGCATATAAATATGTGCAGAAATGTGGGAGGATTTATGTAGTAAAACCATGCATGTAAACTTATGACTTTGACATAACTTTATCCCATGATACACAAGAACAGCAAAAAAACATAGTTCCTGGGATTGGACCAACCTGGGTTCATATCACAAGCATGTGACTGAGAAACTTATAGAACAGCCTTACCCAGTATTAGAATTCAGCGAGATCATCTGTTTAAAGGCTTAGCGTGGGACCATAGCATGGGGCAAGTGCTCCATAAATTATTTCTGATTTTAAAGTTATGTGCCTCTCTCTGTCTCTGTCTCTCTCTCTCTGTCTCTCTCTCTCTGTCTCTCTCTCTCTGTCTCTGTCTCTCTCTCTCTCTCTCTCTGTGTGTGTGTGTGTGTGTGTGTGTGTGTGTGTGTGTGTGTGCGCGCGCGCGCGCAGGTGTGGGTAAGAAGAAAAGAAACATCTTAAAAAAATGAGAGAAGCCAGGCAGGAGAATGATGCCTTCTACACAGCAGGAAGTTCCAGCAGAGGGGATACAGAACAGCCCACAGAGGAGAGGGCTCAGCTTTGCTAAGTGGGAAGCAGGAGAAGAGAATAGCAAAAGGTTGCCAGCTAGAAGGGACTTCCTGATGGGCACTGAATCAAGGGTAGAAATTAATTGAAGAAGACAGGCAGACAGAATGGGATGTCATTTTGTTGAAGCTCAAAAAATTCTTCTTTTGATAAAAGGGATTTTTTTAAAGTGCATTGAAAGTGGTCTCTGAAATTGAAATGTATCAAAATGAGACCTCAGAGCTCAGAAGACGGATGACTTCACCTGTTCCATCCCAGAGCTTTGCTCTTGCTGGTGTTGAGCTTGGCACAGGATGGATTTTCTCTGACCAGGCGTGGAAGAACTAAGAAAACCACATAAACAACAGCAACCTGCTTTCAGATTTCTCGGTCCTCCCCTAATATTTTCCCCACTGTATTTTTGTGCTCTCTTTCTAATAAAGCAACATCATTCTTACATTCAGAGAGAAGATAGAAGGCAAAGAACTCCAGTTTCTCATTCCAATTCCCCTCCTAAAAAGATTTCAAGGAATCTCTTGATCTCTGGGCAACTGCTGCCTCATCTGCAAAAGAAGCTGATTGGTTAAATTGGGTCATTATCTTTTGACTTCCTCTCCTTAAAGCTGTATCACCGAATGGCAAGGTGCTTAAGAACACGAGCCATCTGTCCTGGAATAGTTTACCTCTCTCTTGTCTTGATTCTCTTGCTAGTAAACTGAGGTAAAGAAGAATGTAGTGTATTGTTGGTGTTGCCGTTGTACGCTGTTAAGTAGGAACCAAATTAGAACCGACCCTTCAGTGGTTAAACCAGTTAATACAGGTAAAGCACTCAGTGCATTGCTTAGCGCAAGGGTGAGGACTACCCTGGTGCTTATGTTATCATCACCATTATCAATTTACTCTAGTTAGACATTTGTAATGCATATGAAATGTATTTTTTATAAACCAGGAGTCAGAAATACAAATCTTATCAGTTAGATGTTCTTCAGAAGATTTTGACTCACAGCGACTCCATGTGACAAAGTAGAACAGCTCCGTACGGTTTTCTTGACTATAATTTCTAAGGGAACAAACAGGTCACTTAGATCTTTGTCTTATGGAGAAATTAAGTGGGATTGTCCTTTGTAGACACCAAAGCCCCATAAGTATTAAGAACCAAACCCACCAGCACAAAGTTGATTCAACTCACAGCAAATCATCAGATTTCCTGACAAGACTGCTCATCTTTCTTATAAAGCAACCAATGGATTTGAACCAATGGCCATTCAGTTAACAGTCCAAGACCACTATGCCACCAGGGCTTCTTTCAAGTATTATTTTCCCACTGCTTGTCCAGTCCAACTCAAAGTGACCCTCCATGGAGTTTCTTAGAATATAAATCTTTATTGGAGTAAACCGCCCATCTTTCTTAGAGGGAGGCTACTGGTGGACTGTAACGCCACCAGGCAGCCAACATGCTATCAAAACTCCTTGAACTATTTGTACTATTTAGGGATGTGAAACAATTACAGTAGAGCTTACTGAGAGAGAGGTGGGGACATCATCACCCTTCAAAGGTTCTTTGTAGTCCTGGAGAGGTAGACCCTTGATGGGATGGATTGATTCAGTGGCTGGAGTAATGGGAGTAGGTGTGTCAGGGACAGTAAGATTGACACAGAATAGAGCAGGATTTAGAGCTGTTGTACATAGGGTTACTACGAGTCCTAGGCAACTCTACAGCAGCAGAAAAGTTACTAGAGCCCCTCTCACCTCTGAATTTGGGAATTGACAGTGGTTTTTTAAGAGTAGGATTTTCCAGGCGGTCACGCCATCAACATTTTGTCCTTTCCAGGATATCCGCATGTTTATAACAAAATTTCTTGAACAGAAGGCGGGGGTGGGGGTGGGGGGTGGAGAGATATTGGGTAAAGGTGAACACATAAACTTTGTAAATACTTGGCCTTAGGGACTGACTTACATTTCGTCTCTTGTCATTTTCTCCCAGAAATCATCTCAGTTGCATAAAGGAAGGCTCTCCAGCAAGGAGTGAACTCCTCCTCCTCAAGGCAGAAAAAAAAAAAAAAAGTGTTGCCACCCAGCCGCAGCCCGGCAGTGAAAGCGTTAACAGGGTTGGGTAAGGCGATCCCTTGAAATGAGTAAGACCTGGAGTTGTTAAAGTTTTCAAAGCGCCGGCCCCGTGGTGCTGGGGAAAGAGAGCGTGCTGGAGTGGCTGGTGGAGGAGCTGGGCTGAGCTGAACCCCGGAGGTCGCCTGCGCAAGGTCAGTGGCGCCACACACTTTCACAGCCCCCTGCAGTCTGACATCTCTAGTGAGTGGGATCTTCCCAGGCGGGCGAGGCGCCACCCCTCACCCCCCTGGGTTAGTTTGTCTGCTTACTAACTGGGGGGACAGAGCCCTCAACTCTTTCCAAACCGCTCAGGCTACCGCAGGCACCCCAGCTTTGACAGCTGAGGGAGAGGCACAGCTGCCTTCTTCTAGGAGACCTTTGTAAACTGGAAGCTTACAGAAAAGATTCTGATATCCTGCGGGAAACTCTGGGGGATAGATTCCCCTAAGGCACAAACAAGCGCGCGCGCGCGCGCACACACACACACACACACACACACACACACACACACACACACACACACACACACACGCACCTATGTAGTCGGCTCCATCCTGGTCTATGCAGGTTGTGACCACAATCCCAAATTCCTATCTGCTTCACTTGAAACCCAGAACAATTGTCAAAGTGACTAAACAGGCTGTGCGGCTTTACATGGTGGGAGGAATGTTGTCTCTGAGGCTGTTTCGAATACTTGGGGTGAGTAGAAATGAGGGAAAGGCAGAACGAAAGGCGGGAGAGGATGAGGAGAAAAGAAAAAGAAAGAGAGGGAAAAATACTAAAGTGAAGGGGCCAGCAAAAGAACTTTTGAAATGAATTTCTAATAGAACAGGGTTTTTTATAGTGCCAAAGCAAAAATAATGGGGGTGAGGGAGAGGTATCTTGTGAAAGAAAGAATTCGCCATTTGCCTGTTAATCCAAAAAAGTTTCAATAAGCTAAACTTATCTGCAGTGTGATGCAGTGTTAGACAAACCCACAGAAAAGAGTAGGTAGGTATCCCAGGCTGGTGGAGGAGAGTGGGTGTGCCGCTTGAGGGCCATTTTTGCCTCACCTCGTGCTTCTGCACCGAGAGACAGTGCGGAATGGCTGTGCCCAGTGTTCTCTGATCCTTACAGCAGGCAGGAGGGAGCCCTGTACCTGCTAGCACTGAATCAGAATGAGTCATTGGAAACTTTGGTGCTAGGATAAAGAACTTGCAAAGTGCCTCTGAGACACTGCCTCGATGTAGGTGGGATATACATCACATCATTTGCCTCCTTTCCTTTCTCCTTTAACCAGGCAGGAATTCTGAGGCTCTCCAGAGACCTGCTCTGCTCCCCCTGGATCAGCTCACCCTACCATGTGGACTCTCTGCCCCTCCAGGTCAGGACTGGGGCTTTAAAAAAAAAATGGATGATTTGACGTTACTTGATCTTCTGGAGTGCCCCGTGTGTTTTGAAAAGCTCGATGTCACAGCCAAAGTCCTCCCCTGCCAGCACACCTTCTGCAAACCATGTCTGCAGAGGATTCTCAAGGCCCACAAGGAGCTGAGGTGCCCCGAGTGCAGAACCCTGGTCTTCTGCAGCATCGAGGCGCTGCCAGCCAACCTGCTGCTGGTGCGTCTGCTGGACGGTGTGCGCGGGCAGAGCTTGGGAAGGGGGGGCTCCTTCCGCAGGCCGGGCGTGCTGAACTCCCAAGACAGCAGAAAAAGCAGGGTCAGCCCTAGAGGTCTTCAGTCCAGCCCTTTCCGCCTGGTGCCCAACATCAGGATCCACATGGATGGGGTAAGAAGGATCTTATTTGTTAAAGTTGTGTCCAGTGAGTGTTGGATTTGTGCCTGCTGAGAGCTGAAAGTATATTTTTCTCTTAGTTGTATGTCAAAGTACTGCAGGTGATTCCGGGTGACTAGTTTCTGTTTGCAGTGATAATTTTACTTTAACATAGGTGCGAACGCAGAGCCTGTCTAATTAGTGTTAAGAATTCTTCTTGGAGCTGGATATTTGTCAAAGCTCTCCAGGCTCCCTCTGCTTTTTCTCCAGTCGGACAAGAAAAGGTGTCTAGCTGGCAATTTCTTTCACTTTTGCTATCCTGAGGTTAAACCAGTGTATGGGGATCACGCCATTGGGAAAAGGAGAGGAAACAAATCCAATTGTTTGCTGCTTTTGAGATCTCTGAGAGGTTTCCATTTTCGAATTTTGTTTTAATTTTACCCAAACCCATTTTCCCACCCCCAGTCATGAAGCACTATTATAATATTGCTCATTCATAATCTGAAGCTATCAGGATGGTTGACACCTGAAGCTGATGCGAGGGGGAAGCATGGCTGTGGGTGGACTGATTGATGGCACAGACTGGGCTGTGAAGTAGAATAGATGTGAAGATGAGCCCTTGGATGTGACTTACTTTGCAAAAAGAATAGACCACATATAAAGTACATTTGTGGGGAGTGAAGAGAGTAGGGGCTGCAATAGACTGGGAAGACGGATTAGTAATGCTCCTGGTGTTTACGTAATGGGGTTCCATTTCCCTGACCCTTGCTATGGAATGCTTTGTAAAGGCTTGTCTCAATAGAAGGATGTGGTCCTGGGGAGTCCAACAGGGTTATTTGCACTGTTACCCCTGGAGTCATTGTGCCAAAATGGATACAGGAAGCTGTGTTCTGAGTTGTTGGCATACTTCAGAAATCAACGTTTTCTTCCTGGCGTCTTACTAGGGAGCAGGTTTTCATGCTAGAGACTGAGTCCCAGGACACAAATAGGGAGTTGATATGGGAAATGGGGGGTGGTGGTAGTGGTTTGTATGGATCCCTTCTCTGCTCTGGAGAATAGGTCTCTGATGCACATTCAGAACACTTTTTTTCCCCTTGAGATTTCCCTTTCAGAAAGGTAAGCCTCCTTCAGTTTGCTGCACTGAGGTGTTGTTCATGCAGTAAGGTGTCACCCATGCGGTTGGCAGAGTGTATAAACATGCAAGCACGGGTGTGGAAGAACAAGGACACTCACGGCTTTCAGCCCACTGCAGACTCTGGCTGATTGTTGGACTTGTGAACACATTCCAGAAAAGTTCTGGGTATTCTTGAAAGCTCCGCTTTTCAAGTCAAAACCCACAGACATGGAAAAGACTGGGGAGAAAAGAGAGGAGGCAAACTGCTCAAATATGCCTACTTATAGTGAAACGGACTCTCTCTGGGGTCACCAAAACCCCCTTTGAATTCCTATAGTCTAGTGGCATCTCTTCTCCCCAACAGTGGCACCCTAGCTCACTAAGGAAATGTTGCCAGTTGGAAAGAAGCATGTCCCTTATCACCTTCTCATTATTTTGTTCATGTTTCAATCTTTTTGTTCAGTGTGACTGCATTGCTAAGAATAGATAGAAATGAGTTGATTCAAAGCTACCAGGTTTTTTAAATAAAGAGGCTTCCTAGGGCCTCCTGGCACAGGGAATTGAGGAGGTGAGGTGAGAACTGGCCATATGTAGGAGCCAGCCATCAAAGCCTGTCCCTGGAACACTTCTGCAGAACGTGTAATATCAGATCACTGTGCCTCACATCAGGCTGTGCCCATCTTCCAGGCTACACCGGGATCTGCATTTTCTCATGAGGCTGAAATGTAAACCAAGCTGCTGGGGTGCTGACGGTGCCTTTGGGGTTCAGACAGGACCTAGCTGTTCACCACCCTCTGCAACAAAGCAGAGCTGAGTGAGTGCCTGTCCCTCAGTTTCCTTCATTTCTTGATCCATCATCTTTTGAAGTGGCTCATCTCTTGCATTTACGTTTTGCTTCTCTGAGCAAGAATATGAGGAAACCTTTCTTAATGTCAATTTAACTATCATTCACAATCCATCTGAAAAAAACATAACTATCCTTCTTAATGGCAAAAAACCAGCCAAGTATCACTCATTTAAGGGAATTGGGGGCTACCTGGGGTGTCCCATGACATTCTGAGAGTGAGAGGACTTGCATCTCAGCCAAATCCTTGCCAAGTTGCTGGCCCTCCCTGCCTCAGTTTATCCAATCTCATCATCCAAGCTCAGAATGCTTGTCATCCACCTTCTTCCAGGATAGTGTGAAAATTATTTTTGCAACATACTGATGAAAAACATTGGCTATGTACATGCAGAGCCTTATCATTATCCCTATTTTAAACTTGCTGCATGACTTTGGGCAAGCCATTTAAGTGTGCTGGGTCTCAATTTAAACTCTGTAAAGTGGGGAAAAAAATTATTATAAAAACAGAGAGCCACCATGAGGCTTAACTAATTAGTGTTTGCAGGGCACTTGGAGATCCTTAGATGAAAGCCATTATCACAGTAAACATTATCATTGACCGTTTATTGTGCCCTGCCATGCATGAGGCATTCTCCAAAACACAGAAGGCGCTGTAGCCCTGGCAGGAGACTGTAATAGGTGTTATTATTGAACTTGAGTCTATGATGAGTCCAGACGACGATAATACTAAGCATAAAATACTGTCCTAAAAGGGATTAAATGACCTGTTCTGGCAGGGTACCATTTTGTAAAACACCTCTTCCAGAGAACTGGATGATAACCTCTGAAAGAATTCCTTTACCCTCTGTCCATGAGCTCTTTAAGCCCAGAAAGCTAAAAAACAAGCTCATCAAGACCTTTGTGTTGGCTCCAAGAGGCTTGATGCTTCTTCTGGTGCCAGCCAATATACTAGGGTGGAACCAACAGTCACACCTAGTAGTGCCAGCCCAAGAGAAAGGAAAACAGCATGTTGTGCCTACACATCGAAAACCCTCCCAAGTCGATTGTGTAAAGAGAAAACTTGGAAAAGGGCTGTAGGTTTCTACAATGTGCAATTGTTTCGGGGCAACCAGTAAGAGCAAGGGTCCCCCCCCAGTGCAACGTGCAAATGGTTCTTGTTCCTTCTCTGAATGTGGTTGAGCCAGGAATTTTGCAAGCCTTCCATAGAACTAGGGGCTCCTGAGTTATTGATCTTCTCTTCTCCTCGTTCTGTGCCACATAAATAATAGTTCGGCATTAGGGAAGCAAGCAAAGCTGAGAGGTTGGGAATTTGGGGGCTTAGATTTGGGAAAGGGCAGAATGCAAATCCTAGTTCTGTCCCTCAGTAGTTAGGGCCTCCATCTCTCCTTCTAGAAATTGGAAACCACAGTCATACCTAACTCACAGGCTTGTTGTTAGAAACGAATGAGATGATTGATGTAGTTCAACGAACTCTTAGCACAGTGAGTGACTGGCTTATACGAAGTGCTCAATAAAGGTCAGCTTTTATCATTATTGCATTGACTCAACACTTTCTAATCTAAATTATATCCCTTTTCTCGCCCCTTTGTTCATCAAGTGTCATTCAGACATAGTCCTGGGTACCCTGATTTCTGATTTGTTTTGTTTGCCTGTTGTTATGGATTGAATTAGGTTGCATCAAAATGTAGGTTGCAAATCGTAACCACCATAGCTGTGGTTGAAACCTCCATGGCACAGCCTGCAGGGAACTTTGTTTCTAATTCAAAAGACCACACCCCTATGGTGGTTCAAATCCACCAGCAGCTCCAAGGGGGAAAGATGAGCAATGTCCTCTTGTGTGATGTATAGAGCTGTGGAGATCCAGTGGAAGGGTCAGCTATGAGTGGGTTGCAAATCAATGATGATGAAAGAGAGAGAGAAAGAGAGCAGAGATACTTTTCCTCTGGTCAGGGAATCTTGGTGGCATAGTGTATTAGACTGTTAACTGAAAGGTTTGCAGTTCAAATCTACCAACTGCTTCTTTGGAGGAAGATGGACACTCTTTTGCATAAAGATTTACAACCTAGGAAACAAAATAGGGGGTCTCTATGAGGTACTGGCTCAATGCCAGCGGGGATACTTAGGATTATAATCCCACTGGTTTTAGTTGTGTTCATGATGGAAGATTAGTTGTAGGGTATGTCTTGAGTCAATCTTTTTCAAGGTAGAAAAGAGACTAAACAAGCAAACAGAGGAGAGAGGGAATAAGATAGAAACCTTGACAAATGGAATTCTCCCAGGAAACAAGCGGAAACTGAACACCAGGACTTCCAGAGAGAAAGCCTTTCCCAGGAACCAGCAATATGAATCGAGGATACTAACCTCCTGTAGCTGTTGTTATAAGCCATTGCATCAACTCTGACTCATAGCGACCCTATGCACAACAGCTCTGAACCCTGCTCTATCCTGAGCCAATCTCACTGTCCCTGACACACCAACCCCCATGACTCCAGTTATTGTGTCAATCCATCTCATCTGGTGTCTTCCTCTCCTGCACTGTCCCTTCACCCTTCCAAGTACAATATCCTTCTCCAATGGCTGGTCTCTCCTGGCTGCATGACCACAGTATATGAGACAGAATCCCAAAATTCTTGGCTCCAAGGAGTAGTTTGGTGTCACCCTTTCCAGAACAGACCTGTTTGTTCCCTTGGTAGTCCATGGTATGTTTAATACTCTTCTCCAGCACCACAACTCAATTCTTCCTGAACTGTAGGAAAGTTAAAGTGTTTGTTAAACTACCCATTCATGGTATATTTTTCCAAGCAGCACTAGACAACTAAAATCCCTCTAAGTGATCCATGGGCATGATTCAGATGTTTAGTTCTTCCTAGCGCATGCTAACTTTGCAGCTCATGCCCAAGTCCTTTGCAAATCTGAGTTAATTCTGGGAGAAAACCTCCTGAACTAACTTTACTTCTCCAAATAACAAACTCAGTGGAAAATCATGTACAGGACAGGATCCTGGTTCACTTCCCCAGAGACAGAGAATTCTTCAGTAACTTTCCCTTTTCACTTTTG